CAATTCGGGCGGGCTCGGGCCGCCGAATACAAGCCCGCGGCCCGTTCAAGGTGAAATTCGGGCTCGGGCGGGCGGCCCCAAAATCTCGGGCGGGTCGGGTTCGGGCTCGGGCAAATCCTCGGGCTTTTCGGGCGGTCGCGGGCGGCCCGTCCAAAGTTCCAGCACTAACAGTGACAGTACACAATGCATCATCGAATGATGTGGCTATAGACAGGTTGAAGATAAAAGTTAAAGATATCCCCAATTTTCTCGTCTTAGATGGTCTGACGCTACACATGTGGTGTGTGTGTCACATTCTCAACTTGATTGTTAATGATGAGCTCACGGACTTAGCATATTCTATTGCAAGCATCCGCAATGCAGTTAGGTATGTGAGGTCCTCACCACCACAGTTTAAGAAGTTTAAGGAGTTCATGAAGGAAGAAAACATCAGCTCAACTGCCCTATTGTGTTTGGATGTGAAAATGAGGTGGAACTCAACATACTTAATGTTGGATACCTCTTTCAAGTTTATCCCAGTTTTTGAGAGATTGCTTATGAATCAAAACTATTGTGCGTACTTTGAAGAAGTCATAAAGAATAAAAAGATGGAGGGTCCACCAATTGAGACGGATTGGGACAATGCAAAGGTTAGGGAAGTTTTACACTTTGACGAAGAAGTTCAGTGGTTCATATTATGTCACTTCAAACTTCTATTTTAAAGATATTTGTGCTGTCAAACGAGAGTTGATTACGTTAGAGGAGTGTGATGATCCTCTTTTGAATGAAATCGCAACGATGACGAATAAGAAGTTTGATAAGTATTGGGGAAATGTGGAGAAAATGAATCACATGATGTTTCTTGGCTTAGTTCTTGATCCAAGATATAAGTTGGATTATCTTGCACTTGTCTTCAAGTGTATTTATGATGATTTGACATCTGACACATTGTTAAGCGGGGCTAAGGACACATTGCATAGATTGTATAAGGAATATCATGATCGGGCTCCTCCTCCACCTTTAGCTCCTTGTCGTCCCCCCTCTAACTCTACCGTTGGCCAACCACAATTTTCACTGCCGGTTAAAGCTCGAGTTAGAAATACAAGGTTAGCTCACTCGTCAGAAACTTCTTCTGATTCTACTTCAAGTCGTTCAACAATTACGACCTGTAGTGAACCCACATCAATGCCGGTTATTGATGATGAGATCGAGGCCATGTTTAGAAAGTAAAAGATGAGCGGGGACGGTGCAAATGTGCAGAAGAATGATGTGGATATGTATTTATCTGAGCAATGCGAAGAGCTAGTAGATGACAGTTTTGACATCCTAGGTTGGTGGAAAGTCAATGCTCCTAGGTATAAGGTCTTGTCCCAAATTGTTAGAGATGTGCTTGTAGTTTCAGTTTCGACGGTTGCATCTGACTCAACTTTTTCTACCAATCGTCGCATTCTTGATCCTTTTAGGAGTTCATTGGCTCCTAGGATGGTGGAAGCACTTATTTGCTTGAAAAATTAGTTGAACGCGAAGGATGAAGAATATAAACCTGTGGTTCTTAGGTAATATATGGACGAGGTTAAATCTTTTGTAGATTGCTATCATGTTGTCTAAGGTAATATTAATAATGATTTTACATACTACACATACTTGTAATTATATCTTTTTTATTCATTTCATGTAATATGTAAATTAATTTATAATTTCCTTGTAGATGATGGTGATGTTGTTTCTACTCCAACATGTTCAAAGGACGAAAGCACTCAAGTAAATAATGCGGAATCTTTTAAAAGACCCAAGTAAGATAATTAAAATTATATATATTTCATCTTTTTTCCATTATATATTCCATTTCATTTACTTAATTTTAATTTTCTATTGTAATGATACATATAACAATATAATGAATTTGGATTTGGATGAGGATGAGGATGAGAGAAAATAGGAGGTTTATGAGAAGTTGAAAATGAACATTAATACAACTTTTTTAATTATACTTTGGACTTCTTAATTTCTTATACCAATTTAGATGTTTTTTACACTTGTGTTGTGAACTTTGAACATTAGTATTGTTTGTAGTGACTTTCTAATTTGTACTTTGAATTTTGGACATTGGATTTGGATATTTTGTGTTTGTGGTGTTATCAATTTAGATGTTGTGCTTTGTATTCATTTATTATGATTACAGGTTTGCATAGAATGAAAGTTTTACATTTTTTCACATTTTCTAGTAAAAAAATGCAACTGAAGATGTTGGTAGCCTGATGGTTAACTGATGGTTATCGTCCTGATTACCAAAACTGAAAATCGACCGAAACTGAAGTCCGGTTAACCGAACCGAATACTGCCTTCTGTGGTTCGGTTTCGGTGCATGTTTTTAGAAAACTGACATGGTCGGTTCGGCCACTGAACCGACCAAAACTAGCAGTTCCCCCCCTCCCTTTCTCTCTGTCTCATCTTTTTCTTTTTATTCTTTTCTTCTCGTTTTTTTTTTCTAATTTTCATAACCAATTAGAAATTAGAAGAATATTACCGCTTTCCATTTTTCTTGTTTAGCATAGAAATTGCTTTACGTATTTTCATTTGAATACTTGTTTTTAAAAAAAAAAACTTTAAAAATGTGACTTCTTTTTTTATTTTTTGAAAATAAAATAAGTTTAGTGAACTTATTTTTGTTTTCAGTTTTCATTTTTAATTTACTGTCAAAAATATATTTATGTGAAACTAAAACATACGAGTTCTGTTTGGTTCAATGGTTTAAATTTTGTTAGTTTGAAATTTTTTATTTGAACAGAAAATTCAAATTGTGTGGTTTAAATTGACGTTTGGACGTGTAATTAAAGTTTGAATTTGAACTTGTGTTTGGTAGGTATGAAAAGCAGAGAGAGTTGACACTTTTTAATGTTCAAAAATGGTTTGAACGATTGAACTTGAGGGGAGCTAAACTCTAAGTTGGGTTATTTAACTCAGCTCAAACAAAAAATATAATTCAGACTGCATGCTTACTAAACGCCAATTCAAACAATGCTCATTATTCAAACTGAGTTGAACTGAACTAAATTAGTGAAACAAGCGGGAGCTAAGTCTGATCGTATATATATTTTAAAAAATTGCATTTTCTATATAAAATCTACAAGTCTACCTGTTTTTGTAGGGTCCACTGACAATTGGGTCAAGTTGGGTCCTATGATCATTGTGGCACATTTTTCTTTCACACCCCACATTGGCCGAGTTAGGTTATCCATTTTTATACTTTAATCGTGAAGATATAAATAACAGAATTATCACAACAACCAGTCTTAAAGGCGACTCCAACTCTTAAACAATCACTTTAGAGACAATGAGTTTGTTCTTTTGAAGTGTAACTTGAGTGTACACATTTAAACACAAACTCAAAATATATTCTCAATTCAAATCACAACTCAAATGTGTACATCCAAACACAAACTCAAGTTATAACTCAAACTCAACTCAAGATCATCACTCAAGTCACCCTAAATAAAAAATGTAAAAGAACAACCCCTTTGTTACTCGAGTAGAGGGAGAGAGGATGAACTCAAAATTGGCCGAGTAACTCGAGTTCATTTCTGAGTTTGGTTTCGAGTAAGCCAATGCTGAACTCATACTTAGGCTGAATTCATCACTTGAGTGGACCTTTCTTGAGAGAATTCATCCAATTGAACAATCCCGATGATTCTTGAAAATGATTTTCCCGCAGCGGTACAACATCAACGACTTTGTCTTGTTCACGAGAATATTTTTTTGTGATGGAGTCAAAATCTCAAAGAATCAATAATTTTTCTTCTTATTTAAAAAAAAAAAATTGTTACGGTATCATATATCATATATTTGTAGTAAATGTCATTTGCCAAAGAATCAAAAATTTTTTTTTTTATTTAAAAAAAAAAAATTGTTACGGTATCATATATCATATATTTGTAGTAAATGTCATTTGCTACAATTTTATTGTGAAATGCCCAATTCCTACATAGTACAAATTTCCAAATATTAAGTTACAAAATTTAAATTTAGTAGATAATTTTGAAAAAAGAAAGAAAAATCCCAGTAACCGTTTAAAAATTTTGGATATATTTTTTAAGATTTGCTTCGGATATAAATTCTTTCTTCTTTTGAAAAGGGATATTTATAACAAAAATTTCGATGTCAGCGAAGAGATAACAGTTTTTAGTTTAATTTATATATGTACATTACATTATTACTTTATTTCTGACACATAAAATAGGAATTAATTTTAATAAATATTTTTTTTATTAATATAATTATTTAATTAAAAAATAAAAATAAAAATTTTAACCTACGCAAATTTAAAAAATATTTATCAAGATTACCCGTTGCTTCTTCCGCTCGGGCGTTCATTCTCGCATTACAAATTTTATTTTAATTTTTTTTCTCTTAGGGAAAAAAAAAAAAAAATCTCAGTAGAAGGAGAAGCCCTGAAGCCGAGGCGAGGGAAGCCAAAAGCAAATAGAAATTATCTTTTTTATCCTTTTTTTTTTTTTTCTTCTTCTGGTTTTAGTTAACTTAGATCGAATCGGAGAAGAACAAGAAGAAGGAAAAATGGCGCCGCCAGCGGCGGAACGAAGAGAGCAGCAGCAGCCGCAGCAGCAGCAAGGTGGATTTGGACAGAGCATCACCGGAATAATTAGGATCGCGGTGTTCTGGTACTTCGCGTCGAAATTCTTCTCTCCGAATTCAAAAGGACGCCCTTCCGATCCATCTGTTTTGATGTCGAATCTGTTTCAAAAGGGAGAGCCTTTGGACATGTGGCTCTACGTCTCGGAGAATCACAACTTCACCGATTTCTCCGACGAATCTGCTCTTCTCTGGCAGCAGACCAATATCCCTTACGCCGTCTGGGGTCCTGATTCTACGAGAACTCTCTCCGTCAAATATCATCCCTCTCTGCGTCTGAAGCAGAACGGAAGCCTCTACGCTCACGTCTTCTTTGCGCGTTCTGGTTATCCTCCCGATCCAAGTGATCCCGAGTATCTTCCTCTTGCTACTTTTGGACGCACTCATCGTCAGTTTCTTCTTCTTCTTCTTCTTTTGCGACCCCAAGAATAGAACTATGTCTGTCTTGTCCGTCTGATTTGGGAATTTTGGTTTTGATTTGACTTTTCAGCTATCGTGACTTACCTTCCCAAGTCCAAATCCGATAAGAGGAGGAGCTTGTTGCGGGGGGATTCCAACTCTAAAGCCTCTGCTGATGCTAATGATAATCGTCAACCTCACACCCTAACTCAAGTATCTATTTATTCCCTTTCCTTTTAATTTTAATATTTAATTAATTAATTAATTAATCAATGTTTTTTAAAGCAGTTGTTGTTGTTGTTGTTGTTGTCATTTGTTCAAATGAAATTTAATTTTATGTGACGGTGGTGGTGGGTTGCTTTAGGTTGCCGATGACACTGAAGATGATGGCCCTGTCACTGTGGAGTGGATTTCTTATTGGAAACCCAATATTACTATCAATTTGGTTGATGATTTTACTAGGTATTTTTCTTCTTATTATTATGAATTTCTGCCTAATGAAATGAAATGAAATTCTCTATCAAGTTTTCTCGGATTCCAAACCGTGATTAGTTTAGTTTAGGGATGTTCAACGTTTGTTGCCGGCTGCATATATCATATATGCTATTAGATATATCATCTAGGAGTAGGACCGACGTTTGTTTGCTGATACATAGCTCCCGATATAACAACTTCTTCAGCAATTCATCCAATGGGGATGCTGTTGTAAAACTAAAATGCTGTCGTGGCGATTATAATTTATATGACCTATACTATTCCTATTTGTTAGGGTATGCAGCGGTTTATTTAGTTGACGGGAAAACATTTCCTTCTCTTTTATATTGATTGTTTTTCATTGACAGCTAGCTTCATGAGATTTTATGTTTCACTTGTGAGGTTTCATTTTAGTTGTTACATAATTTATTGCTGAGTTTTTCCCTCCTTCCCGTTTTGCAGATATCCTCCTAATGCTGTGCCGCCTAACATTGCTCCTTGTATCCTTGACCTTTTATGCTCTTTGCTAATCTACATTTAATTGCTGGGGGTGGAACTTGGAAGAAGTTTGTCTGGTGATGCTGATTGCATCCTTTTCTCTTTTCATAACAGATGTTCAAATCTAAGAACCCCTTTCCGATTTGTTTGTTTATTTAAGTAGATACTTGTTTGTAAGTCAAATTAATTAGGTCTTAATCTTGCCAAGATACTACTTGGTGGTGGTCACGCTTTGAGTTCCTTAATTTTAGATTTGCAGACTTGAATGTTGAGCCTAGTTCAGGGAACTATTACCCAGCCGTTTTTTTCAACGAGTTTTGGTTACTCCGAGATAAATTGATACAGTTAAATGAAACGGTCACTGAGCTACCCCTTAATCTGGAGGTGGGTCCCATAAGCATGACCAAGTGGCAGCTGTTTTTGCAGATTGATCAGTCTTTCCAGATTCATCGTAGTTATGGAAGCATGCTTGAAGGAGAGGCTGATGAACTGAAGGTATATGCTGTTCTTTTCAATGCTGATGACATATTTGTGGAGTTTAAATATCTGCTTTTGGTTTGTGCTTTATATGGTTTTTGGTATTGGACCAGTATTTGAAATTAAAAATTATCTTTTTTTCCACCACTTTTTTTATTTTTTTTTAAGGAATTTCACCACATGACGATTTTTCTTTTTTATTTTCAGAATCTGATTAATTGTAATGTTTTCAGAGAGTATTCTTGGAAGGAAATCCTTACCTCCTGGCAATCACCATGGTGGTCTCCCTACTTCATTCTGTGTTTGACTTCTTGGCTTTCAAGAATGGTGAGTGTTTATACCCTTGGGATCAAACTTTATTTGATAAGAGAGTTGACAATTGAGATATTGCAACAGCTAACCAGTCTAATGTTCCGACAGATATACAATTCTGGAACAAAAATAAGTCGATGGAAGGACTCTCAGCAAAGTCTGTTATTGTGAGCTTCATAAGTCAGCTAATAGTGTTCCTGTATCTACTTGACAATGATACATCTTGGATGATACTTGCAAGTTCTGGAATTGGCTGCTGCATTGAGTTTTGGAAAATTGGGAAAGCTATGCACATTGAGGTATCAAATTTAACACAATCATCTTATTTCCATGTCTTGAATAATTGATAATACTGCATCCGTACGCTATGAAATGGCCATTTTCTCTGACATTTGAGACAGCAATCTCTCCAAATCAGAAAATGATATGTTGGATTTATGCGCGCGCGCGCGCGTGTGTGCGTGTTCATGAGGTGCCAAAGACAATCAGCTAGATGTATCTTTGCTACATACAAGGTTGAGTGCATGTGTGTGTGAAGCTATTGTAATAGACCTGTTATGCAACTGAGTTTGGAAGGTTTTCACATGTGGCACACCACTTTTCTTATATTCAAATCTCTGCATGTTTGACAGTAACTCACTGTCCAATTAATTCGCTTTGTGTAGAAGATTAGGCTATATTTTTACTTTCCTTCGGCATGCGCAGATTGATAGATCTGGGAAGATCCCCATGTTGAGGTTCCGAGACCGTGAGTCTTATGCCGGAAATAAGACAAAGGAATACGATGACATTGCAATGAAGTATTTGTCCTATGTGCTCTTTTTCCTTGTTGCGTGTTCCTCTGTTTACTCGCTCATGTACGAGCGTCATAAGAGTTGGTATTCTTGGATTCTCTCTTCTCTCACGAGCTGTGTTTATATGTTTGGTGGGTTTACTCTTTCTCCGTCTCCTCTGCCTGCTTGTTACTCTTCTGAACTTGTTTTAACAGCTTGATAAATCTTGTTTATGAACTTGTTTTGACAACTTGAAAAATCATATATATAATTCACGAGTAAAAACACATATTTCTTCTATGATCTAAAAGTTGTCACCTGAGAGTTTAACCATTACTGGGTGTGAGTTTAACCATTACTGGGTTTCACTTCACGGTCGAAGTTTTGGCAATTTTTTTTTTATGCGCGTGGTTTCTGCAGGCTTCATAATGATGTGTCCCCAACTGTTTATAAACTATAAACTCAAGTCTGTGGCCCATCTTCCCTGGAGGCAGATGACGTATAAGTTCCTCAACACAATCATTGATGATCTATTTGCTTTTGTCATAAAAATGCCAACACTGCATCGCCTTTCGGTCTTCCGTGATGGTGAGAAGAGATAGTGTTTTGCTTGTTTGTCCAATTTATTATTTCACCAAGTAGTAGTAGCTAGCTGTCAACTCTGCTTGGACTATTATGTTCACCCAAATTTGTTTTTTGTTCTTTTTGGCGTGCAGATGTTATCTTTCTCATATATGTGTACCAAAAATGGATCTATCCAGTGGACAAAAAACGTGTAAATGAATTTGGTTTCGGCGGTGAGGATGATCAGCCCACCAATGGGGCAGATGCCATTGCCGCTAAGGAAGACGAGAAGAAAACCAACTGATCTGATTTTCTTGCATTTTCGATCACTTGGAAGTTTTTAACAGGATAATGCAAAAACCTAGTTAGGGTCAAATTATTTCTCCTCTCCTTGTTCTGCTTTTCACATTAGATGTTGCTTTTGTCAAGGTAAATCATATGGGTGTGATCAACAAAGGCCTTTTTTTAATGTTTTTGTTACAGTTAAGTCTTTTGCGAACTTTGATTTCATAATGCCAGATTCTATTACTTTCGTCTTTTCTTCTTATGCCACTATTTTCACGTCGAGTAACCTCACTGGTAAGTGGTAATAGCATCTGGACTGGAGTAGTTCTCAGTTAATCTATTTAATATAGCAGAAAGCCACATTTTTTCCGTGGTGTTTAAGAAATAGCAAGCATGTATTCCTTTTTCATTTTGAGAATACTTTCTGAATAGAGAAAGTGAGCGACCAAAATAACCTCAAAAATAGTGTATTTCACCTTTCTTCCTTTCCCCACTATTGAGATGCAATGACTCCAGAGTCATCCGACCAAGGCAAGGGCGTGGCCAAGCGAAATAAGTGTCATGAGTCCGCCAGCCCTTTTGCTAAGCGCAAGGCTGAGGGGCAAAAGGTCGCCTTCATGCCAGTGCTTGAGCAGCTCGAGTGGCTGACCTTCCGTTTGCATGCACGCAGTCCTTGGCTCGAACACAAGTTTTTTTCTTTTTTTCTTTTTTATTTATTATTATTTTTTTCTTGCTTGAATCGAACATGAGTTTCCGGCTCAATTAAACATTAAACACTAGATAGAATATCCAGACCAGTTTTTTAATCTAAAATGCTAAAGATTTATGGAGCGTGAACAAGTTCCAACTCGCAGGGAAAAAAAAAAAGAACAAAGAAAAAGAAGTAGCTCGCACGGCGCAAAAACATACTCGTCGACCAGATAATACTAGCCTGAATAACAGCAAAGAGGACGAGCAAAATGAGGATTCAAACATTTCAACGCCTGTTTTTTTTTTTTTTTTAACCATTACCAACTAAACTAATGGTTTAATGGGAAAACAACAAAGTCAAAAGGCACTCTCTTCTTTTGGTTGGGTGGCGGTTCCTTTCTCCGAAACAACCGGCAACCGCACAAAACCATTTGAAAAGCGAACAACTGTCTTTAGTAATAGCTAGTAGCTACTACAAGAAATGAAAACAAGTCAACACTACACTCAACCAGTCAGGTGGTGTCCTTGGAGTGAAGCGGGGAGTATTTCTCCATCAGGCTGGTCAATTCGGCATTCAACTGCTTCTCCAGCTCTTCCTGTCGTTCCCAGCAGTATCTTTTCACCTCATTGATCTTCTCTTCATGAGCTTTTAGGAGAGCTTCCCTCTTCTCCACGTAATCGGAAATTTCTCTGTCTTGTGACTCGATGAACCTTGAAATTTCCTCCGTCCTACACCCAAATCAACAAATGTTATGGTGCTACTTCCCCAACTAGAATCCGTATCTAATGTAAGTGTTCAAATGAAAAGGCACAATTATATATTTTCCTCTTCTCAAGAAGCGTGTAAGGCTTACCTCTGGCGAATCTCCTCATCATTTGAAGTATTAGCAGCAGCATTTGACTGCTTCACCTTTTCACGTTCTTCCTGTTGAACCCTCTCAAAATTTTCTTCCTTTTCATTCCTTGATTCATGAATTATCTTTATTTGTTCATTGAAGAACTTCTCTTGCAAGTACATCTATTTTTGGATAACAAAGAAAATAGGCTATGAGCCAAAGTCATACAACAATAAGAAATACAAAAACATTTAGGAGGCAAAAGGTGAGCATAAAAACAAAGCACAGAGCAGATTTCTTTCGCAACACAGACAGATGAAGTGCATAACCTATTAACCCTTCACCACAACAGAATTCTAATTCCAATTCCAATAACAGAACATTAACAGAAATGAAAATAAAATAAAATAAAATAAATTCAATGCTTATACCAGCATACAAAAGCAGCACGTAGCAACTATTACTCAAAATTCAAATTTATCAGCAAGGCATATAATACATCAACAATAAATAGATTACCTCCTCTTTGTTCTCTTCATGCTGCATCCTCATCCTGAGTCTTACGATACGATTTTCTTCCTCAGTCTTGCGTAGCCTCTGAGAAACAATATCCACATGTTCTTCCAGATCTCTCGTGTATATGTCTTTTTTAACGAGCTTGTCCTTGTACCAGCCAAGCTGCTGATTATCCTCAGTCATTTGCCTAATCTGGCTCGTGACCATCTCGTGGTGCGATCTCATATCATATTTTAGCTTAGACTTGCCTAACCAGTGAAAAATATGTTAATAATTTGCACATTGCCGTAGATTGTTAGCTGATTGCGTAGAAATTCAATGTATCTAAAAGAAACCTATGCTGTGAGCACCCACGAAAAGTACAAAACCAAGCCACATAGCAAGCAAGAGAGACAGAGTACAGACCTTGGGAATGCTGGTTGAACACATCCAGGTCTTCTTTCACTGCCAAGAAACCATAAAGCAGACGCTGCCCACCCGGAAAATATAGCTGGCGACGACTACTATTCCAAGCATTCCTGTCTGTTCCTTGCTCCAAAAAATGCTTATGCAGACGCTCAGCCTCATGGTAACCCCGTGCTGAGGCCTCAAAGATCAACACACTCATACCACGATGTCCGGTCGGACCATAAGAATGCCGAGCCTTCATGGGATGATAAGAGTCAAAGTATTCGAGAAGCTCTTGGTTTCCCATACCAATCCACTGAAATACAAATCAAGATAACAATAATGAGCGGTCAAACTAATAATAATAATAATAATAATTTAATAGCAATATTTTGTCTATGGAGCATGAACATTGCGTCAACTGAAAATGAAGTGACACTCTGCTTACAAACTTTACCTTGTTGTTTCCATCTGCTTCCAGCCTTGTGTTCATAATCATAACCATAGGAGGCCAAATTATTTCGTAGTCCTTTTCATCATCTTTGACTCCTTTCCATCTTCCGAATGCTTCGCCAGGTGGCACCACTGAAGTGCCTTTTCTTTTCAACTCCTCCTCCAAAAGCTCCGCAAGTTTCCTATGGACTTTCATCCTCTCCCCGCCTTTTGTTTTGGCATGGGTCATCAGTGGCTGCAAGCCCCGGTACCAGTCGATGGCACCAGGACCCCCTTGGCAGGCTGGACAGTGCCACTGCCTCTCCAGATCCGTAACCTCATCAATTTTCAATTCATCTATGATCTTGAAGAATTTCACAAACCACTTACTCTTCTTGAGAGTATCATGGCTCTTTTCACTTGAATCGGAATCGAATTCATCGCTTAGTAACTCATCATCGTCATCGCTGTCATCCAAGGCAGCATCGGAGTCATCGTCCTCTACATCGTCAGAAAGATGGGAGTCTAGGCTAATTCCACCTTTCGCTTGGGTATCCTCACCCGCAGTCTTAGTAGGTTCTTGGGCCCCCGGCCTAGATGGCCAGTTCCATCCATGCTGCAGCGGAGGTCGAATCACAGGCTGGGCGGCGGCCCGATAACCGTTGTCAAAAGCAGCAGTTGATGACTGGGGGGGCCTTATGTACCCTCCTCTGGCAGTGCCAGCAGGTCTTTTAGGGTCAAACGCAGGCTTACTTGACCAGGACGAATTGTTACGAGTTGCATCCGAGTGATGGCCCCATGTTTTGGTACCAGAATTGGAATTTTGAGGAACCCAATGCGAGTGCGATTGTTTTGCAGCAGTGCTTCCAGCTCTGTTCTTGGGCTTCCTGGCAATGACCTCCCATTCGCCATCGTCTTCTGCCGATTGCTGCAGGCTAACGTCAGCGACGCCCTGGCTTAACTGCTCGACCGTCACATTTTTGCCCTTTGACGATGACGATGACCCATTTTCAGCATCAGCAGAAAAGGGTTTTCCATCTCCCCGCCTCGAACTCATCTTCGGAAAACCAACCAAACAAAACAAAACAAACAAACAAACAAACAAACAAACAGGCAATGCCTTTTACAACAGCATTCACTCAGATGGATTATGCATATAGATAAACAGCACTTCTTAATTCAATTTCATTTATATTTATTTATATTAAATCATGACGGATAAACCAACGTCACTAGTATTGTCAAAAATCCATCTTTCACTCCCATTTAATTTTTAATATTGCCAATAATAAAGAAAGAAATGTTTCGTAAGAGCACTTCACTCGGTTGATCACATAATCAATCAAGTAAAAGGCTATTTTATTTATTAAGAAAATCAGAAGATGGGTTTAAAGCAAACACTTTTTTTTTTTTTTTTTTTTTTTTTTTTTTTTTTTTTTTACGGATTGTAGTTGCAGAAAGAAAATATTAACATTCGTTAGAATGAAAGAAACCATAAACCCTAATTATAAGGGGACAACGTTCCCAGCAAAACAATACAATTATGTTTAAAATGAAAATGAAAATGAGGATGAAGATGAAGTAGAAAAATACAATTATGTTTTGTTGACAAATGAAGCTCAAAATATACACATTCCCAGCACAGAAAAATAATAATGAGTTTTGTTTTCTTAAAAAAAAAAGAGGAAGAAAAAGCTAGACCATCGGGGGGAGAAAAGAATGGAAGAGAAAATAAATGGAGAATAGAAAAGGGAATGTTTGAATAGAAATACCTGGATCGATCGATCGATCGATCTTCGTTGTTTGTTTGGAGCAGAAGAAGAGAGTGAAGAAAGAAAGAAAAGTAAAGAGAGTGGAAGAAGTAGAAAGCCAAGTGAGAAAGCGAGAAATGGCGTGGAGAACACGCTGTATTTGTTTTTTTTGTATTAAGTAACGACTGACAATTAAAGAGATATTTAGTTCATAAATTAAAATTATCTGATTAAAATTATTTTTAATTTATATATATTTTTTATGAAAAAAAATATTATAATAAATTATAAA